CCACTAGCGTGCTGATACAATTTTAACTAGAAATTTTTGACGCCTTCTGTATTATACATTTCGTCGAGGCAACTCGACCGAAACAGCTCAAAACACTTGCTCTGTATATAGAAATGAAGCTATTGCTAAAAGTACAGCCCAAGAATGATTTGTCAACTTTAAAATCAGTATCCGACACTGAGAAGATCCGAAGGCACCTTCAAAGAAAGGCAGCCGGCAAACAAACTAAAAATTGGCCGAAAGGATGAATCACAGTCATAGGACCGTCATTAGCCACTTCATGTCTCTTGGGTTTACAGGGAAACTTCGAGCTTGGGCTCTCTGAATTCAACAGGGAATTACTGCTCAGTGCTGCCTCTCAGTACTTTTCGTATTGACACAATGTCGAAATTTTGCACAGAATTGTCACCGGCGATGAAAGGTGGTTTTTGTACTCCAACATGAATTAGAGATCGGAAAAGCTAACTTCAGGAGAGAAGCCAAGTCGCAGGATATAACCGTACCGTTATTTATAAGATGTTTTGCTTTGCGTCTGTTGGGCCTGCAAGGGCTTGAATCAGTGGAGATTGCTCTCTACGTTTACTTGCTTCAGTTACGTCGAATCAACCAGACTATTCGGAAAAGATTTGATCGACGGGCTCATATAATCCTGTTACGTGATAACGCTTGGCAACATACGGCAAACATCGTGCAAAAGCTGCGCTCCCAGACTTCGAATGAGAGGTTTTGCTGCGCGCTCGATATTGTTCGGACTTCGCACCGTTTGCAGAGCATTCACCTTTGCACTTTTACCTTCGACCCAAGTAAACAACTCAAAGCATTGCTGGAAAACTTCTCCCAAACGAAACCCGCTCTTTTCTCACAAGTTGCCATATATCATTCAGTGCAAAGATGGTAGAAACTCGTAAACAATGACGAGGAATACATAGTATACCGACTTATTACCACACGAGTAAAGAGTGTGTGTTTTTCATTCCACCAACAGGTGTGGGAACTTTTTTCTAACCTACTATTTATATCCCAAGCCGAGTGAATCACTGTGTCAGACACTCCATCCAAACCATACAGATATGAAGAAGCACCGACGCGACATTATAAGGCATCTTCTACACTACGAAGTAAGCTGAAAACACAACCGGACCTCCTGTATCTACAACTTCCTTCTCCTTGTATAGCAAGATATTGTAAAGCGTTGTCAGTTAGCAATAAGCAATATTTATGACGCGAACTCTGAAAGCGCCTAGGGAGCATTATAGCTGCTTTCTCTACATTAAAGCTGTCGCCCTAGCCGATATACTAAAACCTCGAAGACCTAATCAAGAAAGAAAAATAGTATCAACAGTAAACAAGCTAATTAGTGTTCTAACTTCCTTTGAGTCTGCTTGGATCGCTACGTATTATGCGTTATTCCATTTGCCCCTAGATTTCCTTAGTGAATGATATGTCTAGTTCTGATGCCCTCAAGTGCTCGTTTACCGGACTGCTATACTATGTGCCGTAACAAGGACGACTTACCTATGTCCATGTATAGAGCAAAAAATTCTCGACTTGAATATTTTGTAAGTTACTATTCGAAAAAGCTATGTTACTTTAGTACCACTAAAATTCACATACACATTGAATACGATGGCATTAAAGACTGGCCAAGCCCGCGGATGCTGATATAAATATCCGAAATGGGTAGGGATTTCTATCCAGTGCTGAATAGGGCTAAATAGAAATACCTGCTGACCACGATTTACACGCTCACGCTATGCCGTACATTTAGATACACAACAAATGAAATGCTACAGGCGTGGCCCTAGCACCTTACTTACGCTCACTTAATAAAGACGTGACGATGAAGTGTTGTCCGCAGTATTACGCGGATCCATTTCTCTTATTGTGCTATATCCACGGACCGTATAACGCCAGGTCGTGATAAAGCTTCCAGTTTATATCTTTCTCAAAAATCTCATTTCTGCTTATACGCACGGCCGCACTTCATAAGTCATTAACCGGCCCTGGTCAGTCGGGCATGCTGTAGGTAAGGGCAAAAGTATCAAGCAGTGTCAAATTCCGCTTCACTTATAACTTTAGCAGTTTACTCATTTTACGAAAAACACGCCACTCATTTGCGCGAGGTAAAGTTTAACTTCTGTCTTTTCACCTAACATGGAAACTTTTTAAAGTTCTTCAAATATCTGTAGAGAACAATCCACAAACATTCATATTCGAATAGTAGCCTATGAGCGTTAAATATCTATACTAAACAGTCTTCAGTGGTCGTAGTAGCTCTGTAATGATTAGTATTAGAAATTTGTTAATTAAGTGACCCGAACGTAAATGTTTCAGCGAATCTCCAGCGGGCTTCAGTGGATCATTCTTTAAAGAGCAAGACGTAATAGACTCACTTGGCTTAGGGTGCCGCCACCACTCGAGGGGTTCATGTTAATAGCATTTATGGAAATTACAGCGGTTCCCCTTCAGCTTTCCTCATCCGTTCATTCGATCCGTTCACGGAGGGGCTCCAGCTGCTGCGCAGCTATTCCTGCTACTATTAATTCTGCCAACTGCTGTTTCGACTACATATATATACATATATTCTATTAATAAAGTCCCCTGTTTTGTTGCTTTTTGGTGGTAGCAGTGATGGCGCTTATTATTTAGCGGAGCCTAACAAACTCCCCTACCCGCGACCGGTCCGAAGACGATGGGATACGAACGCACTACTCCACTTGGGCGTGAGTAGAGCCAATGAGAGGTTCCTAAGCTCTTGACCACTCCGTCAGCACCAATGGAAGTGTCGGTTGCCACCCACACACCACAGTGGGCCAAAGGCTCACTGCTTCGTCGTCTGTTCGGTGGATGGTTTTAGCACATGGGCCGCTGCTATCCGTCACTGGGTTTCGCGTTGGTCGCGTTCAATTCTCTCAAAGACGAAACTGTTTTTATCAGTTTTATTCCTCGGTCCCACGATGCCCCCCAAAGGGGCACAGGGCACACATTTTGCTCCTAAGCAAAGCATAGAGAGAGACGGCGAAGCGTTTTCCCACTTGGCAGTATTGAGCTAGCAGGTGAACCACTTAAGTGGATAGTTCTGGTGAATATGCATGAATGAAGAAGATTTCACCAGGGGTGGAACTGGGAGATATTTTGCGCTCGTCGATGTAACCCACAGCAGTAATATCAGCGCCTGATTAGTATTTCCCCCGCTGCCAGTAACTCTGTTTCTGTATTGTGTGGACATAATGTGCCTGACATATGGATATATTCATAAGGTATATATTTTCTAAGTATAATATAATACTGGTTTAATCGCAGGCTGGTATTATACGTAAGTCCACAGCCTGAAACTCTCTCTCTTCGTTGGTTTTAGAAACCTCATTATTGCAACCACCGAAGACTTCAACAAATAATTATCTCTTTCACGGCACCTTACAATCAATCTCCATTCTTTATGCCCTAATCACTTCTCCAATCTGAATAACTCAATAAATCAGTCATCTTTTTTTCTTTTGCTTCTTTATCTGTTTATCCCTTTATTAGGCCATTGCACTATCATTAGTGTTGACAAACGATACGATACGTAGTATACTTGCTGTAGCATCGTATGTCAATAAAGTAAGTTCTGAATTCGACTGAGATTGTTGAACTTCAATATGACCAATTCTACTTACCTGCTGAAACCCAGTTTTGCAAATGCTTTAAATTGTTGTTTATTTTGGTTGCAAAATTTTGCACTGCATATATATAATAGCAAGCCATCAGAGGCCTAATTTAAGAGGCCAAAAAAGACGTTCCTTGGAAATGTTTCTATCTAATCTTGTGGAGGGTAGTTTTCTCTCTTTGTTTCGAACTGCGTGATATTCGTACTACTATACTGGTGCTACATAGGCACAAAAGAAAATCGTTATTTCGAGCTGAGCCGCTTGCGTGATAAGGCTACTACGACCTTATGGGCTGGCGTTTCAGGCGTAACCTACCGGAAGAGAAAAGTAACTCAAATATAGTTTAAAGTTTCTTTCTTTTATTTTTGCAAAAATCCACAAGTATATTCCGCATAAGCAGTATTCCGTATGCTATCTCTCTGGCGGTCTTAGACGAAATGCGATCAATAATAGCTATAAGCTTCTAGAAACAGCAAGCTCACGGCCAGGTTATGACAACACGAGTTTCCTTAGTTGTTGTTTTCCAAGGTTGGTCGGGCTTGCAGGTTACGACCCGGACCAGATACCTGGATCAATCTCGACAAGTAACGACTTTTGCGGCCAGCCGTTATGAACTAGGAAAGAGTATACATTGTAATGTAAACAGACGACGATCTTTTATATAGCTACAGGTGCAGAATAAACAGTCGTCAGTGAAACGCAGAGGTGCGATGTTAACGAAGAAAAGAGAGCTCGGTTACGAGATATTACCGTATTATTGTGTGTTGTCTTAGTCGTTAGTGGTTCAGTCCAATTAAGGGCAAATGTTAGATGAGCCTTTTTTCAATTAATAAAAAGCGTATTATTTTCTGTATATATGTAACATGTGATGAGTTAAATAGGCACGTCGTTATCGAGGACCCATGCTGAGCGAATGGGAATTAATTTCCGGTTGGGAAGCAGCAGTGTAACGCCATTGTGCAGCCATATAGTCAAGCCAATGCGCTTTCATTTGAACTCACCCTCCTTAGGTGTGTAGAATATAAACGTTAATTAATGACGAGGGTGATCTGGGCTCATTTAAGGAGGTTAACCGTCATTCAAGCAGTACACGAGACCACTATGTAGAAATCAGAGTTTTTCCACAACAGTTATAATCACTGTTGCATCGCGGAAAACTCTGTTTTTATAGCAAATCAAGCATGCGTTTGATTTATATATCTTTTATATATTCATTGTAATAGTAATTTACTGACTTACGTCCTTTCTGCGCAATGGGAGCCAAACAAATTATCTTACTAAGTGTATATAGTATTATTGTGTACTTAAGACTGGTAAACCAAACTGACTTTTCCGTTTTGTCTATTGCAGATATGCCATCGGCTGCTTCGTTTGAGAGCGGCGGAATATACGGCTCTCCTGAGTTCGAGTAGAACGAGACGCGGGCGGGAGGCCAGGGTGGGGCGTTATGGGGCTCTGGCCACTGCCATTGACGGCTGTGGCTGCCCCGGGGCTTCCGCCTGCCCTGTGGGTTACTGCGCTCTGGTTAACGACGGCCTGCGCTGTTCCCATGGAGCGGCTTGCGTCCTTCTCTCTCCATCACGACTATCGGCCAACTGTAGCAGCTCATAACGGCGAGAGTTCGGGCATACTGGGCATGTTTACCGTACATCAGCAGTCGGTGAACATCTCACATGTGGTTGTCGAACGTCACACCGGCCGAGTTTATGTTGGCGGTGTCAACTGGTTGTACCAGTTGAACGCTAGCTTATTCGTCGAAGCATCGGCTCAAACCGGTCCGGTCCACGACAGTCGATCGTGTTCAGCTGCCGAGACCGAATGCCAGGCCGCAGACGCCCGTCTTACGAATAACTTCAACAAGGTCCTACTCATCGATCATAGCGCGCACAAGCTCATCGCGTGCGGGAGTGTTCGCCAGGGATCATGTCGACGTCATGATCTCGCCGATATCACCCATCAAGAGCCGCTTGTAGAAACTCCGGTGGCGGCGAATGATCAAAACTCGTCGACAGTTGCATTCATTGGGCCATCGAAGTAAGTTGTTCTTCGAGATGATTAAAAAGCCTAGTGAGCCTTGTTATGCTTTGAAAAAAATGTTCAGAGGGGCAGATGCAACAACAACGTGCTGTTTTATCCGCATTTAGGCAGGAATGGTAAGCTAATGGTTGCGTGCAGTTAGTTATTTGGTGCATCGGAAAGAGAAGCACGAGAGAGGGAGCAAATGTTAGCTCAAGAAGTTATCAATCTATCTTTTGGCAGACCGGCTTTGATCCGTATTGATCATCACTTAATGATGTCTTATGCTCAAATCTATATCGTTCTGAAGACCTGATTCGCGCGAAATCTAAGAAAGTTTTACGTCCGGCACCGCCATTTAGCTCCCAACGCGAAACGGATTGTGCCTACGCCAGGATTCGAATCCCGATCACCACGCATCCCTAAGGCTCCGATCGTGGGGAAATTGCCTATCGTACTCGGAGGAGTCCCGAAGTAACTTCTAGAGCAAAATCCTCATTTTCTCGTAGTAAAACGCCCTGCACCTTGCCTTATCTTGTATCTCTAATTGTGTGTGCTATAAATTATCGTACGCATAGCTTAAAATATGCATTATATATGCAGATCTTGAAGTAGTTCAGGTTCAGGTTTGCTCAGTGCTGACGTTCAGCGTATTGCGCTTTGATCAATAAGTTCTATTAATTACGCATCCATATGGAAGTGGACACAGCACGGAAGCTTACCGTCGTATGCTATAACGCATTGCGCTATTCGTTGCATGGCGGTCAGATTTAATGAACCAACGCTCAGCGATAAGCCCGTCTAGCAATATTCCGCCGATTTTCAGAGACCTTATAAAGCAGCCTTATTTACTAATTACAGTAATAGTAGTGCGCCTAGTACTAGATATTTTACCACGGGCCTAGGCGATGCGCCTGTCTTCATTTAGCGTTCATCTGAGACTACTAGTTTATAGATGCGATCCATTTGTTAGTCCAAGCCCCAACTTAATTAGCAAACAAAAAAGGCTGCCGTTTGAGTAGAAAATCTTTATGTGCCTCACGCCAGTTGCGACTACGTTTTGACGTTTCTCTTTTTAAAAAATAGTGCTATATAGAATACTGCTCTTCAAAAGCGCTGCCCAGGAAACTTCTTCCAACAGTCTGTTTTTTCGCTCATTAGACGGTCTGTCCTTTAGATCCGTGATTAACATTCTGTAGACTAGCTGCCATATAATTTTAGAATAGCTTAGAATAAGCTATTAGCAGAGCTGGTTTCTGTGTTCTAATTACACAGGTGGCAGCCATGATGCCATATCTATGTTATGCAGATCTATTGCTAGTTAGCGCTCGGAAACACGCTAGTAAGGCACATAAACGAGTTATCTCTATCGTTTGAGACGGACAAATTTAGTCGTTAAAAAACAGATCGTCTCAAAGCAGCTGTAGAAAACATGACCCGTAAATTTCCAATATTTTCGTCGCCTGTATAAATCAACGGGTAGATATGCTAGGCCGAAATTTGCACCTTGCACAGCTATCGGACCCCTTTATGTGTGGCTGCATGATGAACGCCTGGAGTTAAGCAAAAAAATATAATGGATAGGTTTCAGGAAGCGCCCAATGGCAACATGGGAAGGTACCATAATAAAGGGCCTTTTTATTCAATCAAACGGACGTAGCGACAGCAACCGTTTAGTTGAAGCCAAGACTTTTTACACCCTCACCCAACTCTGGTGCAAAGGAAAAAGTATGAATCTACAATTATTCGCATTTATATAGGCCTGTATTTTTGTTAGTCTAAAACAATCAATAATGCAATTTATAGTGGCTACATTTTGTTTTGCCCTCCAGTAAACTGACCCCGCATCCATTCATTATGACGTATTGTTTCAGATATGATCCAAACGGATTACCAGTGGATGTTCTGTACGTGGCGGCAACGAATACGAAAAGTGGCCCGTATCGGGATATGGTGCCAGCTATTGCATCCCGAACACTCCGATCGGAACAGGGCCGTGTAGGCGGAGCCATTGATGGAGTGTCCGACCTAGATGGCCTGTTCACGGTTGTCGAGAGTTCATTTTCCGAAACCGCTCGCGTCGATATCTCGTCAAATCTACGCGATGCATTCCTTGTGCATTACGTGTTCGGCTTCCACCACCGCGATTTCGCCCATTTCGCACTGATACAACGGCGAAGCTACCTCGTCGCACATCATGAATGGGGTTATGAATCCAGGTAAAAATTAAAAAAGAAAGAAAAGAGACTTAACCGTGGGGCTCATACCTATAGCACGTCTGGATCACTGAAATAGTACTTGGCAAATATGTATTTGACTGCAACAAGCTGTGTTTGAATAATTCAATAAAAGTAAGACAAAGAATTGTTGACCTTTATCTCGTAACTGATCGGCTAGTAGCGCGGCCGAATCTTGTTTAAAAGAAATTCTAAAGTTCGATCCTATGGTAAGGCTCTGAACGTCACAACAAAAGCATCCGCCATAGCCACTAACCAATTTCGAGAACTGACAAAACGATCGATCAGCGATTGCGTTAGTAAACCTATACTTGATGCCAGCAGTAACGACGAGTTCGAAGTCGTTCCATGACTTCATTCCGAAGCCATGGAAACAAAGCAAAACATTCATGTGAGAGAGCCCTAGCTTTATGTCGGCTTTGTTGTAGTGCAGGCACTCTAATTGTTGATGATTATCGATTATAAATAATTAAACAAGGGTAGACCGCTAAGGGTTTCAGTTGTTCCTAGTTATTTCTAGAAGGTTCAGAGAGGAGTTTAAGAGGACCCAGCGCAAGCAGAGATAGCGATTTTATTCGAGTCATTCGGGCTCAAGATGAATGTTAACAGCACAACGATAATGTATAGATACGAGTGTGAATGCTGGGGTCGATCATAAGAACCCATTTAGATATATGTATGTCGCAAAGTTTCTGACGACTATCCTTTTTCAATATAGGCTCGCAATTGGGCTTATATGTTTCATCGGTATTGCACACTCTCGAACGCCAAATACTAATCTCTATTGAGAAATCTTTACACTGTGAAGTGAGTATTCCCCTGGTTCCTTATGCACGACTCTAGCGACAGAGGAATAGCCAACACGAATATCGGCTAGGTACCATTCATATGAAATACATATACATTTAGGTTTTATTTACCTGGCGTTTATACGTCGAACTTCGTCGTTTTCGTAACTAGTAACGTTCTTAATGTTCTTATGCATAGCAATAAACATCAGAATTTTTTTTTAACCGTCAGTTAAAGTTAAGTAAACTTCGCCATTATTTGAACTTTTGGGGGGAACGGCATAGGGATGAAAGACGTTTCTGGCTGTCATCTAGTAATAAATTCAAGGAAAAATAAATTCAAATTAAAAACAATTCTTCAGAAGAATCAACCGAATCAGCTCAGGTGGCCGTTAGAGCCACTAAAGTAATAAGAGGGGAAAAAAACGGTGCCTCTCCTTAATGGATTTCCACATTCTGCAAGAGGTTTATATATCATCTAGCCGCATATATTATAGTGGAAACAGATATTATATTTGACATTTTAAGGAACGCAGCTCGACTTTAACTAATCATTGGGCCATCGTGGCACGCTAATGTGACTCTCCTTTTATTCGGTTACCAACCCTGGGGGGCTTCTCTGTCCTTCTAGTTTCTCTCGCGTTGCTAATGGTTAAAGCCACTCATGTCTTCATTTGACAATGAATGGCCCCCGAATCCATGTATATAATATGATGGACAAACTGGACCGATGTAAATGCATTTTGCCCCCTGCGACCACCCTGTCTTCGGTATGAGCCGAATGACCATCATCTGGCCGGCTAAATTTAACTGTTTGACGACGTTCTTCCCCGTCGCTCTTGTCGATAATAACGTACGCATGACACCGATGTAGTGCTAACGTGCCTTTACGTGCCACTTTTAATGCTGCAATGCTGAGGCTGAGTTAACTAAGATCCTGATTAGATGCAGGGATCATATTGAACGAAACTGGTATGCATACAAATCAATAGCGTTATTCAATGCCGGAAATAACGTCAATCTAGGTGGTTAGGTATCCAAAAAGTGGCTAATTCTTGCAGGGCCTTGCATAGACTGATGATGATCGGTGGAGTCACATAGGATCGGATAGGTTTAATTGTGGCGTAACGGAAAAATATCTTAAACCTGAATAGGCTTAGTCGAACCCTTATGAGCTTTCCGGGATTTCATCCGATACTATTGTAGCACACTATTGTAAATATTCTAATTTTTTAATTCCATATCAATGTACTCATTCGTCAAAGTATGACACCATTGAATTCGTTGATAATAACCGTATCCAGTCAACAAGCTGATGGGTGTATTCTTGCTAAGTAGTAGTAGCAGTATTAAACTGAATGGGAGCGATATTTTGATTGTAATATCTTCTTTGCCGGTTTTGATGCATCCTTCCCCCTCATCATAAGAAGCTCTGTCTGTTTTTGCCTGCAGATTGGCTCGAGTTTGCGTTTCTGACCCAGCATACAACACCTATGTTGAAGTTAGCCTACAATGCGTTACCCCTGAGGGTACCAATTATAACCTGCTTACGGATGCTACGCTTGTCGATGCCGGTGTTACGTTACTCAGCGAGTACAAGCTTTCAACACATAGGGATTCCACGTTGTTTATCGGCGCGTTCGTTCAGTCTGAAGGGCCTCATTTCAAGGTAATAAGCAGTAGCATATTGTTTGCCTTTAAGAGATCTCCACAAGTTGACTTTGGCTTCCCCAAAAGGAAATTTAAGGGTTTCTTTTTTAGAGGCTTTTTTTTTTCTACTAGAAGCTTCGAAGCAGAGCATTGCATAAGTTATCTCAAGCCGTACTGCTAGTTACGTTAAACGGCCCGTGGAAAACACAACTGCTGAAGTCATCGATAACACAGTAGCTCTGTTTTCTTAATTGAATCGTAGGTGTGACAGTAATCCTGTTGTTATTTCAGGAGTCCCGTCGTTCAGCCGTATGCATCTTTCCTATGGTCGAGATCGAGCGTCGATTCCAACAGAATATTCACAGATGTTACAATGGATCGACACTCACAAGAAATATGCATTATATTGCGGGCAGTGTCAATGAGTGTCCAGAGCTGGGTGGCTCAGGAAATGTTGTAAACTTTTGCAAAGAGACTGTCAAACTTAACGGATCCATTCCAATTGTTGCCCGACCTGTTGCAACTTTCAGTGGTAAATATATTCACTATATCCGTTCCCACAAGTTGTTAGGTGACCAGTAGATCGATTCCGAAGAACGGCGTCTCTAACGTCCTGACATAATTACGGATTATTAAAATTCACATTTCGCTCTTTTAGGTTCGCTGATTAAGGAGATTCAACGGGTTTAGTAAGAAGAAACCTGTTACACAGGTATCTGTGATGTTCGAACGGATTTTTTACTATCGCAAGCACTACATAAACAATCGTATCCTCTATTTTCCTTCTACTTCAGATGAAACATTGACAGGCGTTGGGGCATCGTTAGTGGAAAAGCAGAACGTGATATTCGTAGGTACAGCGTCTGGCCGCCTACATGCCCTCCTTGTGGAGGAAAAACATTACTCGCGAACGTTCCATTCTGTTCTCCTCGAGCGAGGTGTTCGTATTCTGCCACAGATCTTTGTACATGACACGGCCACCACTGAGAAATATCTCATTGTTGCATCGTTATATAAGGTAGGACTCCTAACGAAAGCGGACCATAAACTGTCAAGAACAGACTAAATAGTCACGGAGAAGTGACTATTTTTGGATAGGATTGAGGTTTAGGAAAAAATCTCAATGAAATACTAGGTATATTTTCTGGAACGTGTTAGAAAATCATATTATTTGCATTTTGGCCATATTTACTTTCAGGTGTTCAAGCTAGCCCTTTCCGACTGTGCCAAGCATACAACGTGTGGAGACTGCATGGAAGCCAAGAACCCATATTGTGGGTGGTGCGCGCTAGAAAATAAGTAAGTTTATAAAACTTACTTGTTACTCTATAGAGAGCACGAAGCAATACTTTATTTGAGGCACGTCAATTTCACCACACTTCTCATCTACTAAAGTAGAACTTCTGTACTGTAATGCACATTTTTGCTACCAATAATCATCTTAATCATACCCGATACAGCCTCTATGTTTCGAGCTTTACGTCCGGTATTCCCGTTAGGCGTTCCATCAGACGGCTGGTTCCCAGCATCAAATGAACCATCTGTCTATGTGCGGGCTTGAATCTTGACCACAACTTGTCCCTAAGATTAGCTTCTAGCTTCTTCAACCTTCCAATCTAACGATATAGTATCAAATTTTTGTTCTAGAAACTATTAACACACCAGTCATCACGAAGGTACTCAACATAAACGTATATGAGTCGTAAATAGATCAATAGAGCCCTAGGCATTATAACTTACATGTTGCATTTGTAAACGATGGATCTCATTTATAGGTGTAATTCACGTTGGGAATGCGGTGCTATAACTGGAACCTCTCAATGGCTAAGTTCAGGAACAGATCGGTGTCCTTACTTTGAGGCCATTATACCCCCACACATCCCCATACAACAGAATCAAGTTACGGTGCGTATATACAGTTGATTTTTGGTTATCTTTTTAAGCAATTTTGTAAGGATTAATGTAAGTGAATGGCCAAAACAGGCTCGTCGAGACCCCGCCGTCGGTGAAATCAATCTATCTTGTCTACATGCTTGAGCGATTCCAACTAATTCATGTTGGTTGAGGAATCGCGGAGTTTTCTTACTTTGGCCTAATCGAAATGCTGCTTTGTTCTTAGCAAGACAACGATAACACTTTATTTGCGAATTTAAACACGCTTAGTTTGTGTCTGTGCATCAAATATTGGAGCCAATGGGGTAAACTCAATAGGATTCATACCAGCTGGGGTAAACTTTAAAATGAAAGCGAAAGCGAAAGCTGCAGACGCTAGTGATCCAGTTTGCAGCGGAAGGTGTTAAAATAATGCTACTTTATGTCTAATGCCTTGCCGTCGTAAATCATAAATGGTTTATCTCGAAAAGGCTTCAGAAGCAATGGTGACTATAAAAAAAATGTAGCACGATTTTATCTGATTCTGTCTTTTGTTCGACTCTAACGTTCCGGACGTTCTTTAGTCTTCATGTGTGATACGCTAAACTTGTTGTTGATCGTTGATACGATTTTCCAGTTAGAGCTGTTGGTGAGCGCTCTACCGCCGTTACCTTTCAAGACCCATTACGTATGCGTTTTCGGAGGGAGATCGAAGGTTCAAGCGCACACTACACACAGCGGACTTGCGTGCACCATTCCGGAGCCACCTTTAAGACCTCAAATACCAGCAGGAAAAGGTGCAAAACTTAAATGTATTATTCTAAAGTTTTCATTGTTTTTGTGGGGCTCGTCCACACACCTGTGACACGATAGATTCATTTATAAAAAATATTGAATATATACATATATATATATATATATAGAGAGAACTTTTTTATGTAGGATGCGTCGTTGGCAGGACGTGAAGCAGCTACCCTTATCCGCCAGAGCCTTGGCCTTATATATACATAACAACTCAATTGGATAGCTGAGCAATAAACAATGCAACAAAACACACGGCATAGCTGTTATCCGTGTAAACGGCGATATACTTAAGAGCCGATATCCTTAAGAAAAATAAAGCAAAGAAGTTATTGTAGAAGAAAATAACGCAGTATTTTTTATCTACACGGATTATAGAAGGTATGCAATAATTATATAACCTCTAAATATCCGTTATATAATTTTTGAAATACCGCTTGTATAGCTTAAATGAGTGTTAGTAAGGCTTAGGACAGTTCGATTACTTGTCAATATCGTTCTTAATAATTCTGGCAATATTTCGCCAATATATCGCTAACCTGTAAAAATTTTTCATGGACAGAAAATATTGTCTTGCAGAGAGTTTTTCTCACACCATCTTTTAGCATAATCTTATTATAGCATTATCCCTATTATTTTTCGTTTTGGATGCTCATCGACCAAATTGAGATAATTTATCCTTAATGGAAATAGCTTAAAATAGGTAAGAGCTCAATCTATCCTTGTTGATTCAGTGTTCTGCGGCGGAATTGTCATAGTTCGCAGCTACTTATAGAAAATGTTGTCTGCTTTTAGATCATGTAATGCTGACCGTGTCGGTACGAACGCTTGAAAGTGAAGCAGATTTAGTTTCTAGAAACCTTACATTATTCCACTGCCATACGCATCGCACGTAAGTCTTCGCAGGAACTATTATTAATTAATATTATTTTTACTAAATGACTTGGATAAAGAACCATTCGAAGAGGGAATTTGATGAAATTGGGACAGATGCATCCAACAGATGGAGCTCCGCAAACTCTTATAAAATAATGTAAAATATCGTGTTGTGCAGCTAGGAACAGTCAGCTAACTTTGTTTTTTCTCCGTTTAGTTGTAAGAGTTGTGTGATGTCTCAATGGTCCTGCAGTTGGTGCTTGGTTGAAAACAGCTGCACGTCGAACACGTCGACGTGCTCACAGAGAAAAATTATCGGCGAAGCCGTAAGTTACTACACTAAACAGTGTCGACAACAACGATACCGTGTGTTTACTTAATAAATACTAAAATACTCGTCTACTGTAAGTGTTCGATCTTACAATGTTTTCTATTTTGTTATGTGTTTCAGAGCTCTGAGGTATCACTCATCAAGGGCCGGCAGCACTGCCCCTCTTTCCACTTAGAGGACAGACTATTGATTCCCCACGAAGCTAAACAAGAACTCGCCATCCAGGTTAAGAACCTTCTTGCACCTGTAACGGTGAGGAGATTAAAGTCGTCAAGAGATGGTTACTGAACGTTAAACAAATTATATCAGCACATAATTATGGTGGTCAATATTATCCTCTTAGTGTTACCTTGATATTCTTCGTGCAGATCTCAATCACTACCGACCCGATAGTTAGATCTGGGTAGTTCTAATATGATATCGGCTGATACAGATTAACAAGCATTAGAAAGAACAGATTGGCCTATTTTGTTTTTGTGAATAAGCCTAACTTTATTTGCGGCTTCCGCCTTTAACGAAAAGGTGTTCAGCCCTCGGAGATGAATAAAAATGTGGATAAATCCTTCAGTACGTCAAAAATCAAATGAAGCTGATCTATTAATACGAAATTTGAAATAGAGAATTGTCCGATTAAATGAAACCGATTTCTAGGAGAGTTTCCAATGCGTCATTGAGTTGGAGAACAGACGTTTGCAAGTGTTAGCACGCAAACGGGGCGACTTTATCGTTTGTTCGGAAAGCAGTCTCTCATATGAAGCTGATGAACCCGAAGTAGAAGCGCAGCTCACCGTCCTTTGGAACGGTGACATATTCGTCGACCAGACAAATCGTAAGTAAACCAACCACCCAATTTTTTTAGTTGGTTTTAATCTGGTAAATAATTCTACATGTAGAAGATACTAAATAAATACCTTGTCGTTTTGTCCTTTTAGTAACTGTATACAAGTGCGGCTTATTGGGTTCCCATAGTCGCCGTGCGGATTGTTCCTTATGCCTTACTCGCGATGCGCGATATCAATGCTCGTGGTGTGGGAGTCAATGCATGTTTGGACCATCCTGCTCGCAGCCGGTGACCACTTCATGTCCGCCACCACGTATCGATTGGGTCTGTCAAAAGCTGCACTCGAAATTCATTAGTGAAGTATACGAAAACACATGACATATTATGTTTTCAACAATAAATGTTATTTTGAATAAAACTTTGTCCCGCTTAAATTCATTACCAGATCCATCCGTTGTCCGGCCCCGTCGAAGGTGGGACGCTAGTGACGATTGAGGGCTCCAACCTTGGCACATCACAAGCCGAAGTCGAGGATAAGATCCGTATTGGTCAGTTACCGTGCGTACCTCGTGAATATAGTGTCAGCGTTCGAGTTGTGTGTGAAACGCAACCAAATCCGCATGGCCCACAAGAGGCGTTCATCTACGTTGGCAATAGTCAAGGTCTCAGGAAAGCACAGGAAAAGTTCCATTATAAGGTAGGACTTCTCATATAACATTTTGTCCGAAGCGATCGCTACATTGAAATTTACGTTTTTTCAGCACGTCGTCCCTCAAAGTGTGAGCACACGTTTCTTTATCACTACACTTCAGCGTAGCGAAGCATGATATCCATATTTCGTTCTAGCTTCTTATCTAGATCGTTTATTTTTTTCTGCCTTCAGCTAAACACCTAAGTAAGCTTCGTTAGCACGTCTTCTATTTCTGGCCGGAAACTTAGTGCAAAACTTTTACCCTCTAAACTGTCTACGCAGACGAGATAAATATCTTAACTTTATACATAAAAAATTGGGTACAAATTCTCAATATTTCTCTCAATGTATTGTGCTCTCCTATTGGCTACTTATCTATTCCAGAATAAAAACCTTAGTTTTGTGATTATTTGGATGGAAAAAGACAACGGACCTTGACCTATTTACTCAATTTATTTATGAAAAGAGACTAATGCAATCGCTTCCACTGTGCCATTGCGATTCAAAAATTGCAAATTTTTCTCCCGGACTTAGGTATACGTCCAAGGTCGAAATTTGTCTTTCTATATATATATATATATAAAAAAAAAAAACTTAGGGGTATGTTACAGGGGGAGATCCTTTACGATCGGTCATCTATTTCCGGTGTACGAAATACCTATGCTTCAACCTGCGCGTTGTTGACGTAGACGAAAGACGGCTCACTTAGCAGCATTCGAAAACTCTAGGACTACGGCTTGTACAATTGGGAGCTAAAAAAAGTGAATCTAACAAACAATTTCCGTAAAAATTTATCGTTGTAACGAGACTTTGAAGCCAACAGTGGCCAAGTGGCGTAATACTTAACCCGTAGCTGCAAATAAAGTTGTTTTTAGTATGATCTTTATATTGTTTATGTTCAATAAACAAATGTTGCTTATGGACACATCGGTAGCGTATATATATATATGTGTGTGTGTGTGTATGTGTAAGTATTTTCTACGTGTAATTCCGCACTAACTTTGATTACACTACGTGCAGCCTGCTAATCCATTGGCGGCACTATTACAGTTTTTTTGGCTAATGTGTTACAGGAGATTGAACTTACTGGCGTTTACCCCCGCGTAGGTCCCCAGTCTGGTGGTACTCGAATTTATCTCAACGGGACGAATTTGAACGTCGGAAGTAACGTCAGCGTTATGCTGGATGACATCCCCTGCATCGTCGAAAGGTATTATCTACATTGAGTTATGAGTGTGCACACTCCACACGCTCGGCCTCTGGTATTTAAGTACAAGAATAGTTGCTTGATTGCGTTGTTATTTATTTCAGTCGGTTCATCTTCATACAAAAGTATATTCAATAGCATATGTAGGTATATAGTAGGTATATATAGGTTTCTTCTTTAACATTTTCATTGATTTGTAGGTCGTTGGCCAGCAGCGGGCAACTGTCCTGCCGGACATCGCGAGCCCCGCTATACAACTACAAGGTTGAACAACTCATACTACAGGTTGATGGAGCTCGTTTAATTCTACCGCATCCGTTCGTATTCGTCGAAGATCCAAACATTTTGGATATTAGACCTCTGAGGAGCTATCAGAGCGGAGGCCGCGAGATTCTCGTACGTGGAGAGTTTCTCGACTCCGTCCAGCAACCACGAATGGCTGTATTTGATCCAGGTGATAACGATAACAAGCCACTTAACGAAACGGTAAGTTCTACTATCTTTCATCGAATATAAACGGTCGAGGACAGACAACACACTTCTTAATGGTTAATCGAAGTTCAATTGAATCTCTTCATCAATACAAGCTAATATAGTGCATACCTGTTCCAATCCTTGTTGTGATTATCACAATGTTTCCAGACTTGTTCGGTCGTCAACTCTACTCTGATGATTTGTCCATCGCCATTCGTATTAGGAGTACACAAAACAGCCGGCCATCAAAGTGACCAAAGCTCCCAAAGTCAAGCGAGTATGGATCGACACACAAAAGCAAATCTCGAGGAAGGTGAGCAGATGAAGCTCGGCTTCATCATGGACCGCGTGGTACAACTAAAACAGCTCGATGTGTTCTTTCCTATGGTTGACTCAATGATAACATACCTCCGAGATCCTGTCCTCTTCACCTTCGGTGAGGCTGGAGCGGTTAAGGCATACAAAGGGGATACGCTCGTCATTGAAGGAGATCACTTGTTGGGCGCCAGCGAACAGAACGAGGTTCGAGTGTACATCGGCACTAGCCCATGCAATGTAAGAATCGCATCTCTTACTATTGATTTGTTTTACCTGTTTCCTTGTGTCTCTCATCGAATAGATTGGTAGGTTGATTCTGCACAACAGTGAGGTGAAATCGTTTCAAGTAATTCTAGAGAAAGCAGTATCACCGACTCTATCATATTCCTATAGGTTACCTCATTGACATCCTCGCAAATTGTGTGCCTGCCTCCCGCGGATTCCCCGGCGGCAACCGACCAGCTGGGAAGACGAACCGCACTGCCAAAGGTCACCGTGCAAATTGGATCAAACCTTCTTTATAGTATTGGCTATCTTCGATACGAGATGTCGAAACTGTACAATCTGCCTCCGGAAATCATGGGTATGGCAGCTACTGGTGAGTGGAGAATTTTTGTTGTGATTGCATGTAAACGTCTACTAGCTACCCTTACGACGTCCATTTTATCTATTCCATTAACAATTGACGTCAAGTTGCGATGCTGTTTTTCTCCGATAAATAGGCGGAGCTATTCTAATCCTTGTCAGCGTTCTGGTTTTGGCGCTGCTACGGCATAAGAACTCGCAGGCCGAACGCGAGTACAAACGCATCCAACTTCAAATGGCCACGCTCGAAAATTCGGTTCGTTCCGAATGCAAGCAAGCCTTTGCGGAGCTGCAAACTGACCTAAAGCTCGAGCAAGATACCACAGACAATGAGCTCGGAAAAGGATTCGGTGGAAGCTTATCTCCTCCTGTCTTATCTCACACCAAATACCTTGAAAACATCTTCTTCCCTGGGGTACCCAATACCAACGTCTTTCACATAATTAAGGTAGCTTTTACGCGCATCATCATTGATTTCAAACGAGTTAGCCTATACAGCTAATTATAATTTCATGCTTTTGAAATCTATTAGTGTGCAAGCAGATTACAGCCCCTACCGTAAAATTCGCACTTGGATTCTCTTTCTACTTCCGCTATCCTTTTTTACGGAAATCCTTCTTAACCATGCTAAGGACGTTGTCGTCCTGGCGAAATCCTGCATGCGACACTTGTTTTTCACTTTGTAGATAAATGTTCGAAGTCTACTGAAGGAAAGAAGATCGCCGGTCATCTCTGGACTATTTGCCTAGCCCTCAAATTATTTAAGCTAACGGTAGCATGCGTTGAACGAACTGGGAAAAAAAAAGGTCCTATCAGTTAGTTTGACAAAGAGAGCTATCGGTAATTACAGTTTTCAATTGGGTCGTCTTGTTTCAGCCGTTAAACAACGCTGGCTGTTCGAACCACTACGAAGTCGCTATGGCTAATTTTGAGCTTTTGGTCAATAACAAAACATTTCTGCTAACATTCATTGATACCTTGGAGCGGCAAAACACCTTCTCTATTCGGGACAAGTAAGTTCAGCGTTTTCACCTAAAAATTTATCGGCTGTTGTTGTCCGTCGCTAGTGTCTAACCGCTAGTGTCTAAGGGTATAGATTAATCCTATGACCAAAACAAATTTATTTTAACTATGTCTTTTTTCCAGAGTGAATGTAGCATCTCTTCTAATGGTGATCTTGCTCGACAAAATGGACTATGCCACAGAGTGAGTATGACCGACTCACATAAACGCCAACTTATGTTCCTGGTGAAGCCTACCCCTTTGTTCTGATGAACGAATAGTTTTAGTGAGCCTGCGCGGTGGTTTATCCGAACGTACTTAATAATCGAAATTGTAGGAAAATGGCCCTGCTATTTGTCGTGCAGTCTTGTACTGGCGTCAGGAACGAACACTATTTATATACTGGGTAGCATTAGAGATATGCCAATGAACAGAACGGGTCCGACGACGCAGAACTTACCATGTTTACTGTAGGTATATATGGTTATGCAACTTATTTCAGTCCTAATCAGAGTTCTATTTCAGGATTCTGAGAGACCTGCTCGTGAAGCTCATTGATAAATACGCAGAGACGAAACATCCTCAGCTGATGCTTCGCCGGTGAGTCCATAACATATACATAACCTAAAATTTCGAATATTAACTATTTCCGATCAAAGAAAACGATATACTTTCAAAGTATATCTTTGTCTAAGGCCTGAAGATGCGATTACAGACATGGTTTGTCGAAGTTTCCTTGAATATAGCCTGTTTTAAATATGTAAATGAGTTATTCTTTCTTCACGAAATACATATATTCCTAATCCTGAAAACATTGTAAACCTATTTAATTACAGGACCGAGTCGGTGGTTGAGAAAATGCTATCAAACTGGCTCTCGGTTTGCATGTACGAACGAATTGCGGCTTCGCAAGCAAGGCCAATGTTCCTTTTATTGCGTGCATTAAAGCAGCAGTTAGAAAAGGGGCCTGTAGATGCTGTCACCCATGACGCACGCTACTCGCTAGCCGAAGAGAGGCTTCTTCGTGAACAGATTAACTATAGCGCTGTTGTCTTGCATGTTCGACTCGATAAAATCCTCGACCTTAATAGCAAACAAGACGATCCGGACGACAGGAAGAGTCTCGTTGTACGAGTGAACGACTGCGATACGATATCACAAACCAAACGGAAAATACTCGACGTGCTGTTTGTCAATGTGCCTTTCTCGCAGCGACCCACCGTAAATTCAGTTGAACTGGGTGAGTTCTGTCGTGTAACGTTGCGAACGCAGTTACGTACATGGGTGCCTTCAACGACGTGGGCGAAATCGCAAAATGTGATATAGATGTTTCGTATATAACAGCTGTTTTTGCTTTACTTCTAGTAATGGCTAACTTTGGTCTGCCTTTTCAGAGTGGCACCACGGTCAAGGCCCAATGCCCATGCTTCTGTCCGACATAGACGCCACCTCCGTAGTACAGGACGGCCTGAGGAGGCTAAATACGCTTATTCACTATGGAGTCGCGGACAGCGCTGTTGTGACGCTAATCCATCGAAACGCCAACTACGAGACGTTGAGCCGGTTAAATAAACAACAAACAGATCAGAGTGCTTGTTGGCACCTCGTACCGCCGGCGTACGTAAATGATGGGCACCTCGCCGAGCTACGACACAAGAATATCGCTGAAATCTACCTTACGCGCCTCCTTTCTACCAAGGGTACGATACAGAGCTTCATCGATGACTTCTTCGCGTCCATCCTGACGGCGACCGATGAACTGCCACTTGCCGTGAAGTGGCTATTTGACCTGTTTGATGAGAGTGCTTGCCAGCACGTCGTGCAAAATTCTGAGGAGGTGGCACAGGCTTGGAAGAGCAATTCTCTGCCGCTTCGGTTTTGGGTCAATATGTTGAAAAACCCAGACTTCGTGTTCGATATAGAAAAGAGCTCCCAGCTGGATGCGTCACTCTCCGTCATAGCCCAGTCATTCATGGACGCCTGTGCTCAGTCAGAACAGCAGCTTAGTAAAAACTCACCTTCATCGAAACTGTTATTCGCTAAAGACATCCCGCAATATCGAAAGCTCATCGATAATTTCTATCGAGACATCGCAAGTATGCCACCGGTGCCAGACCACCAGCTCGCATTGTACATGAGGCAACTTTCTGTGGTATGTAAAAAGCAGTTTTGACGATGTTTCAGGTGATTGATAGGCAATCAAGAGCAAGTTATAGATAGTATTTTAATAAGACCGAGTGTTACCGTTTCATATCGAAAGGTATTTCCAGTTGCTTGTCTTTGTTATCCTTCATCGCATTTAAATGCAAGATCAAAAAAAAACACTACAGATAGCACTCAAAGTTATACAGTACGACCTTGCAGTTCAGCTTTTGCCGAACTAGACTTTCTTTTTTTCTCTCAATCTGCCCTTTAGGCAAAAAATAAATAAATATATAATCCGCATAATAATAATGAGTGCACGTGTCTGAATTACTCACAGCAATATGCCGGCCAAGTGGATACGACCAACGCCTTGAAGGATCTCTACATTTATGCTGCCAAGTATAACAGTCAAATATTGGCTGCGCTTGAGGATCGCGAAGGCGGAACATTGGGTGACTATCCGCCGTCGGGCAACAGCCTTGTGAATCGATTACGGGTCATCGAAGCCAGTTACCGAGCCGGCACCTTAAAACGTTTCACTTAGAGTTTCTTTACGATTCATCGCGGTCTCTCTGTGAGAAAGTCCGAACGGACACAGATAAACAATGAAACAAACATGAAAAAACAAAACTAAGGGCCTGTCTAGTCATTAATCTGTATGGACAGCCGTTTACATATTCTTCTGTATTGTCTTTTTGAGAGAAGCCATATAAAAAGCAGAGAAGCATAGATGGTCGGACGTACCGTCAAGTGCATACACGTACACGGCTGTGAAGCGGTCAATCGTTGGAGTTGTGCAGAACTCGATTAGAAACCTAACAATGTCAAAAGGATGATTACATAAACGATAAGCAACAAGTATATATGTATGCATGTCATGACAACAGATACAGTGCCGTGTAGTGTTGCCGGATGTAGGAACGTGTCCTTGCTTTAAGAACACTCAGGTAATGTGAGACAAAGCGAAAGAGAATTTCTACCCCGTAGGTTCTGCAGACCTCAAATTCCCGGTGCAGATTGAGGAATAAGAACCGGAAGATTCGCAACCTAGCAGGGTTAAACAAAAATATGACGATGAACCCAATGATGATGAGGAATTTGTAAGAAGTCGTGGCCTTCAATTACATTTAGCATCCTATAGTGACAGGAATGGGAAAAAAAAACAGGAGGGTGACGTACCGAATGAAATGGGTGATCATTCCTTGCAATGTGTGCCCTATGACCTAGTAGCACCCCTAATGTGTTTCTTAACTACCGAAGACGCGTTGAGCTTTATATAAGACACACGCAGGCTCTAAGTTTGATGGTAGCGGAACATTAAGGACGTTCAGTTTCATAATAGGTGAAGAATCGAACGCAGGTAAGGAGTGAGCGATTCGAAGATCCGTTGCATTACTTTGACCATGATGAAAGGCAAGGACTTTCTTAGAGACGCTGCAGTACTATACAAACGTCTCGTTCTATTTATTTGTAGTAGAATTGGTAATGCAAAGCTCAATTAGCCTTGGCACCTTTTTGAACAACTGTAAATCTGTGGTGGGAAACTACGAATATGATTTGGCTCGTGCCGTACAACTATAAAAAGGAGCGTACTATATTTACCTTTGTACAGTTATTAGAAAGTCATCACGAGAATGGAGAAGTTCTGATGTTAGTAAACTATAATGTAACAAAATTGTCTCATTTAAATCACTGCGAGCAATGATAGTTTGCTGCTAAGTCAATGTTCGCAGAGAATCTTGAGAGTTATTTGGTACTACCGACATAACGATTACAGGCAGTCGCTAAATACCGCTGTCATCGAAGTCTACCTCTTCGCTACTCGTTTTTCTAGGCATTAGTTAACCTGTTTTACGTCTTTCCGACAATGCCTTGACCTGAATACGATCCAACTCATGGAGTAGATGTTTTGTCGGATATTGTAGGCCACATAGTGAAGTCTAAAAAAGCGAGAGATGATGAAACGTCCAATGTAGGTTCAATGTATATTTGTCCGAATCTGTGCTGACCTGTGTGACCGGGTGCTGAGAACGACAGCGGCATAAGGTGTTATTACTACAACCAGTATTGATAATAATAATAATAATAATAATAAAAATATTATTCATCTAAGCAGGGTAATGAAGTTAAAATTTCCGATATAAACAACAAGTTTATGTGACAATGAGACCCCTAGGCCTAACGATATGCTAGTTGCTTAGATTATTTGGCCGTCATAATGCATATTCGGCATTTTATTGTTGCACTTCCTGGTAGCCTGAGTCCGTTTATACGAACTTAACGAACGACAACATGAACAGAAGTCCTGTTCAGTCCTGATGGTCAACCAATGCCAGGATGATTAGCTTTTATAAGCATCGATAATAAACGTTAGGAACGTTCATTCATAGCAGATTCAGAAATTTCATCGTCCATATCTAAAACGCGTATGGATTACCGTTTGCCCTGATGAAGCATAAAGATTCGAAGGATTGCTTGAATCACACATCTTGGAAACATGCTTAAACAATCAACTGGTCCTAACGGTTATTTTATGCATTAGATTCCCCTACGCGTCTAAGCTTTCACACTGCCCATAATATCAATGTAACAATAAGTGCAATATTCTGGTGTGATCCGTGTTTTGGCTTATCGCGTTTATGTCTCGTGTTATTTATAAACCCATGCGAAGGTCTACTCAAGAGGTATCGGCACAGCTGGAGCTGTAGTGGACACTGCAGACATGATACGATACATCCAATTGTGCAGGCTACTACCCAAGCACACATTATGTACAGAGAACTTAACAGATCACTGTAGAGCTATGAATGAAACAGATGAAATTTAATATACCAAACAAAAAATACCACTATATATAGAAAGAATATAGAATTCTATGTACTCCAGTGGGAAAACGTGGCAGTGTGTCCAATGGGAGAAAAAAGTACTAGGGAGAAGCGAACATGAGAAATTAGCTGAGCTCGTGCATCTGAGTCAGTTCATAGAGCAATGTTTATAGAGGTTTGCACGAGGGGCAAATCTATTAGACGCGGTTATTAGATAACGGGGAAAAAATCAATAAGCTGAGAAATCTAGCAATGCAGAGCTAATGCAAATGAGAATTCAGGCAGGTGGGTGGATGGAATAAGAAAACTAAACCACTCAGCGTTTGTATTTTATTTTATAAAATTCTAAACTCATTCAAATGAAACATATGTAAGCAACAGTATATGCTAACGGTGATGTTTATAAGAGACAAGAAATAAAGTTGAAATAAACACAAACAGAGTGAATATATTTATTAACTATACTGTGTCTTTATTCGATTTTCGATTTATAGTTACTGATTGGTCTGTAACTTAAGCTAAGCTATGGTGTTTTTGTATTGCAGCAGGTACCGATACCTTCCCCAAATACGTTTTATCCTCTATCACAGCTGACTATCGGTTCGTCCCGTGTCGCAATTCAGTATAGTAAACTAAATTTTTTATGTAATCTAAAGTTTGATCAATAAAAACTTTACTACGCTTCAAAGAAAGGCTCAGCAGTATTTTATGATCTCCACTCTGCTTCTCCAGATTTTAACCGGAACGCTTCACTCGGCTTCTGCCAACAGCAGGTATTGCTCTCATCTAACGGAACCTTACTTGTGTAAAATTATTTTTTTTGAATTACAGTAAGAACGCTTATCTCCGCGCTTACTCTAGCCTCAGGGCACTCAAACTCACCACTGGGATTCCTATTGGCTACGTTATCCATACAGCAGTCGGAAGTACAATCTATGGTGTTATGTATTACGTAAACGCAAAAAAAGAGCCTGTATTGGCGCTATTGCTGGCCGCATTAACAAAACTACATCGTGTCTCTTTTTCCTTACGGCCTTTGCGTGTCAACAATTGAGGAACGACTTCACTGCTAATCAGGTTGGCTGGAACGTGGAAGATAATGTTAATTCATGTATATATAGTTATGTATGTATACTTATCTTTTGGAGGTTAAGGGCAAATGCATTCTGCAGACCGGACATCACTGAATTGTGATTTGTCCGGTACGGTGGGACTCTCACCCACTAAACCCTGGACCCCTTTATCATCTTGGCTCATGGTTTGGGATATGTTTGAGATTACTTCGAAAATGTATACTTATCTGGTTCAAACCCAACAGCCTGCATATTGTGCCGCAACTTATGGATCATGTCACTTCTTCAGGGTATGATAGAATTTTTAAGAGTGTAACAATTACTACAGTCTAAGAAGAGCCTGTGCTTTAAATCATGCGTGTCCTATTTAACTTACTCCTTACTTAGTTATCCAATGCCCTTCTCGCATACTGAGTTGCCAATAAAAAATGTCGAATGCGTTTTTGTTTGACCTAAATTATCTGTATGGGATAATATATTACAACGCTGTTTATTTGCCTGAACGAGCAGGTTCGCACGCAAATATTCAAGGATTAGCTAGACTGTTTCTGACTACGCTAAATATACTAAGCGGCGCTCTCACACTATTAGACATTTCTAGATCCCCAATGGCTTCACAGTCCTTAAAATGCCTTTAACAAAGATTTTAAAAACATAAACAATGTTGAACCACGTTAAACAGATAATGGCAATACTGACAGCAGTCTTGGTACCTCTATAGCACTGATTTGCCGAACATTACAATGTTATCCAGATCAGGCAATGGACCCTTCCCTATCTGTACCGACAAGCCTGTTTTTTTCACACGCTCGCTTCGTAAAGACCTATAAACTAAATACTGGATCTTGATTAATATCCGATGCATTAATTTAGCCAAGGCTCATTCATCCTGCCCGTTAGCCGCTAACTTCGAAGTGAAGGTTTTGGCTTGTGTAACTTATTGAAGCTTTATTATCAAGGTTATAAACGAACGCCCTGTCCACAGATATTACGAAGTAATTACATCAAGATATAGTTTTTTTCATTGCATTTGGAAACTATTTGTTCCTGTTGTCCGTTGATGAAAAAATCAAGCAGACAGAAAGAGCAATATCTGCCAAGGGATCATCAAAAGCCTATCCCTTTTACCTTGAATGATATAGCTGTAAAAAAGCAAACCATTTTTGTGCATACTTACTAAGCAACTTGATGGAGTAGACGGATATGTTAGAGATAGAAGCATCGAAAAATCTATCCTATATATACCCTAAAAATATATCCTAATAAATAATTCATCGTTTGACCTAGAAGACGTATTAAAAATACTACACTGTCGCATTGACTATTCAAAAAATAGCATTGGCTTCTCATTCGACTTCGGGCACCTTAATGGACCTTGGTTGCACGAATTTCCAAAGAAAATCCTTAGCAGACGGTGCGCGATGTGCGGCGAGTGTTTTCAGACAACTGGAAGGTGTTCACACCGAAGAAAAACGCAAACGAAAGAATACGGCCGAGCCAGCAGCTTGTTGCAGCCGACAAATTCTTAGGTCAAGTCCAGGAATTCCCAAAGATCTCCCATCGAATATCTGAGCGAGAGCGGGAAAATAAGCAAAAAGGGGCGTGACTCTGCCATCACGTTCCTATCGACATCAAACCCATCGGCTTCCCCAACGAACAGACAACCTCATTGCGAAATCGACTTTCTAGTCTTCCTGGACCCTGTCCACCCCCGTTTCTTCCCATGTACTTCGCTTCCCTTCCCTAGGACGCTGCACTACCACCGACTGACTCATGTTACTCGCGTGACTCTCAGAGGACATCCCAGCTACAACACTAGATTAGCATGTCCTCGCTGAATCAATGAAGAGGCCATGCCTGTAAAGGTACAGTAGGAGGAAAGCCATCGGGCTGTAAATAAGAGGGCGGTAAAAGGGGCCAGAAGCTACGCTTGTTTCTATCGAAAAGGAACCGATGTCTTTGCGCCTCGCCATACAACTCAGCCTGAACGAGAGGGACGGAGAATATACATATGTATATATAGTAGGCTTGAAGTCTTACCGTGGAAACTGAGGTAAGAATAGGCACGCTAATAGTTATTTATAGCGAAATATAATGCCTATTATCATTATTGTCTTTCAACGAGAATTTATGATTTAACAATGACAGCTTTAGCAAATTCTCATTTGCTATCCGCATCTCTTTGCCTATCTGTGTATTCTAGTAATCTGCCCATAGATAGACATAGTTCCAAGCTACCATTGATCCATTTACAACATTTCGGATGAACTCAATTACTGTGAGATCGGATAATAACGGCGGCTATTTTGTCGAGCCTTGTAGGCTAGTACAGCTACAGGCCAACTATTCATTAAGCAACGTACGTCATGGCAATTTACTGCTTGAAAAGCTTAAAATGCGTTTTATAGGATGACACGCTTTTATCAACGATCTCATTACATTGCCTTTGTTCGTTAATAATTACTTCGCATACATGTTCAATTAGGTCATGAAAAGTTTTTACCAATGCATCATTTAACTTAAAAATTTAGTTGTATGGCTTTACGGAACAATGTTTAAAGCATCTCAAAGCCAGCTTTGTGTCTTAAAGTATCACGAATCCCAATAGACGCTTGGAATGTTACGGTTTGATTTTCGTCGCCGGTGATTTTTGCGTTATGGCCATTCTTCGGAACAGTATAGATAGATTTTTTTTAATTTCTAGTGTTTTCGATCGCTGTCAATGTTTGTCGAACTGTAAGGTTGGCTTCAAGTCCTTGCGGACGATTTTTGCAACAACTTTTAATAAGTATTTCTGGTAAAGTTGTAAGGGTTGGACGACGCTACATTGTAGTATTTTTCAGACGCTACATTTTCAGGTTGAGATGGCATCTGAATTTTTACATGGCACACTGTGTAGGGGGAGAAGCGTTCCTTGGCACCAGTAGAAAGCTTGTGATAAGCTAAGCGGAACAGCACTTCTAGATTCTATGCGTAAATTCAATACTTCGAACCGAAAATGACTGTTAAAAACTCAACATGGTACACGATGTCAGAGAAGCTACGGCTTTTACTACCAAATAAAAGGTTTTGACGAGGGAAATTCAATTCATATTTTTATATCTAGTTTAGGTAGTTTGGGGTGAACACAATGGAAAGCAACCGTCTGTTTGCTGACTTCTCAATTTTTTAACGATCACAACGTTTCCTCACGGTATATGGCTTTCGTAGATTCCTACGCAACTCAAATCTACGAAGTTAGTTTTCTCGAAATTATTCCACGTTCGCAAGCCTGAACAAGTGCCTAAGTGTCCGTTTACGATTCTCAAGCAAAGGTATCTAGCCATTATAGGGTGTACAGCAGCTGCCTAGAAAAAGCTATTTTTTTCCTAACTGAGGAGAACATCATCGAGAAGACCTTGTAGCTTGTTAGCCCAGTTATTAAAGGAGACTAAGTAAAGGGACCGCCGAAGATAACATGAAAAAAATACTTAATTTCAATCGACTCGTCCTGAACAAGACACTAGAATGAGTTATTTACCTATAGATTTAAGCTTGATATGGTATTATAGAGCTGACATTTGTCTTTCGTGCGACTAATCTGAACGCACACACATAAGTAGTAAAATTAAGTCTTTCAACTCATTCCAATGTTTGGATGGGTTAGGACACGACATAAAGTAAACTAGAACAGAATATGATTTAGTACGATAATTCAATCACGAATTCAAACCAAGGGATCAGTTCGCGGCCGCACCTCTCTTTAGTTCTTTTTCATTGATAAAATACGCTGATTGGTGAGGTCATCTCCATTACGTATTGCGTATTTCCGGGTTTGTTCCATAACGCGATTAACAAACAACAATCACTGAGAATAGATAACGCTGAGCTAAAATGATATGTTGATAGCACTACAGCATGCCTATGACATGCAGATTTCAAATGGTAGTTTAGCACAATTTGTATCACGGATTTTAACGGCGAAGACACTGGCCCGACTCTAGTCTTTGAGAAAACGACGGCTACGATTTGTGATTCATTTATGACGTGGGCTACTATTCGAAATAACATTACAAAAACTCTAGTACGAGTGGATTATGACACATAAAAAAAGGTCGGATGGACCGTTTGGTCCAAGTGCCTAGTCATGCTTATCTCAACCCACCCTGTCATGTTTTAAACATTGTTTAATTTTCCAAAAAATACATTAACTAGATGAATCAGAATATGCTACCACTGCAGACTAGGGAAGCACGCGATTTGGCTAATATTAACCTAAATATACCAAAATCACGCTATGCTACCGGCTGACGGGTAAATGGCGATAAAAAATAATTTACAGCAAATAGGGAAAAATATATTTGCAGTGTTCTAACCCAAA